ATGACCCAATGGAGTGCTCTGTTAGAAATTCATGTTCCAAGAAGTCCATTTTTGTTTACTTGAAGCCGCCGCAGCTGTTCCAGGAGATTGCATCTGATTTTTTTCCCATAAGCCTTTTTAACTTTTGAAATGCCAGGTTTTGGAGCCTGTATGTTTTGACATTTTACTTTTAAGGTTGTCATCAGTTGTGTATCTGGAAAGCAGAGTGCTCTCTGAATCTGGCAGTTCGATAATTAACGGTGTCATGTCCCTTTTTTCTAGGTTTGATAAAAAGTAGTTCAGAAGAAAATATTTCAAGCTGTGGTAAGACATGTCAAGGTTGGATTTACCACAAAACCAGATTGTATTTTATAGTAAGCTTTTATCAGATGAACTGAAATGTTCAAATTATTTTGAATTCTAATATTTACATCCAGTGGATACAAGTAGATTTCCCAGGTATCTTAATTCCAGTGTATTTCATGGTTCCTTAGAAATCAAGGCTGAAATGCTCCCCAGGCTATTAAAGATCAGAGTATGGATTGTAATTTGGAAACACTAATTTTGCTGGGGGATGAACACAAGCTGACCCTTGCTCTTGGTCCACACGCTGCTGTTCCACCCCCAACCCGCCCCCCAGAAAGAGCTGGCGCAGCACAAAGTGTCCAGCCAGCAATGCCCTGAGTCTCCCTCTGATCCCCCACAAGGAAAGGCACAGATCCCCTGACATCTCCGTCCCTGCACTGGTGACAAGCCAAGCAACCCTCAGACCTTGCCTGCAAATTCTGTGAGGCTGCTGGGTTGTGTGTAACACAGGGCAGCCTTGGATGGAGGCTCCACACCTGTAAATGCACTTGGCACAAGCCAAAAGGGTTTTAGTAGAACATTGGAATAAATATATGCAAAACTGGAGTTAAATAGTCTGGATAATTTCTTAGAAAAGCACACAGGAAATAAATGGGTTGAAACAAAGCCTTTCCATGGTAAATGCAGTGTGAAGTGGTGTTAGAGAAAAGTGTCTCTCTCTTTACAAGTGGTAAATGTATCTCCAAAGGTTGTTTTAATACATATGTTTTCCTGAAAGTAAATAGTGTAGGATGAACTTGCAGTGTTGAGGCAAAGTTGCTCCTAAATGAATATGCAAATCATATGAACACAGGTTTCAGACAAACCAGACACTGAAGGTGGACAGTGCTGCTTACCAAGGTTCTTTGATCTCCAGGTTGTGTTCCACCTCTAGTCATAAAGACACAAGCTGCTTTTCTTGCAGTTTTAAGAAGCTAAAATAATGAATTTCCTGTTGATAGTGCTGAATTAGAGATACAGAACAGCAGCAAATGCACAAATACGTGGAAAGTGGATGGAGACTTGGATAAATAAGAGTGATAAACAAAATAACAGCTGCTATCACATGTTTTACTCTGACAGACCTTCAACAAGCTGCTTTGCCATGAATAGTTGCATGGTTTAAACCCTATGATTACAATAATGACGTGGTAACTGAACATTCATTCTGCTGCTGCTGTTCCATTGAAATAAAGATTCTGGATAGAAAACTGCTCTCAATAGCTTAAAATGCCAAAGTCTTTTTAATGATATTTGGGAATCTTTCAGCATATGAAGTAAATGGAAACCACATTATGAAAACCAGGTTTATTCAGACAAAAAGAGCAAGGTTTCCTGTACTCTGTGTTGTTCAAGTAAGGAGGATATTTTTTTTTCCTATGGACTACTGCTTATGGCAGCAGTTCAGAATATAAGGAGTATCTTCAGAGAAATGACTATTTCTGCTGTTCTTCAAAATGAGCATAAAACTTTAAGATTTGGTGCAAAGCTCAATGCAGTCCACTGCAAAAATACCAGTTGCATGACTTCATACCTTAATGTTTAACCACTCATTATTTCATGATAAAGAAGAAAAAAACAAAAGCCCAACCTCCTACCCAAAAACGAAACTCAGAGGGAATTTGTAAATTAATCTTTTGAATTCTCTTCATAAGAACTAATTGAAAAGATGCTCTATGAAAATAATGTAAGCTTTTGGTGAAACTATATTAATTGGTAGAAACCAAACTGTTCTGAATGCTATGTGGATTTTTTAAAAATTTCCCACAAAAAAGGCCTAATATGTGAGAATAAAATGTTGGAAGCCTTTTTTTAGGGAACAGTAGGCTCTACTGCTATTAGATAGCCTAAATTATTGATATTTTAAGAAAAGCTTCTTTTTAAAATCTGAGGCTGTGGCCTTTTTCCCTCAGGCAAGCATTGATGTGCTCAGCTGAGCCAGAGGCAAGAGCCAGCCTAAGCCTGGGCTTCCTGAAACCAAGAGGCATCAATGCTTAACAACATTGTGAATTTAAAAATGCTTTGTAATTGGGAAACACTCAATATTTAGCTGTACTTGGAGAACAAAGCCAACATTTTGCCACTTAAATGTTGGTCTTGCCCAAATTCAGAGTAATGGGATCTCAAAGGACTTGTTAGGCACGGCTTTGATTGCCTATGAAAGGACTCAGAGTGGACTGAGATTACAGCTGCCCTGAAATCTACTGGTGAGAAGCACAGTAACATTATTAAGTACTATAAATTATTGTTATTATCAAAATTACCAAAATCAGAATAATAAAATAGGATTGAAGCTTGTCTGTATAATCAGTGTGGTTTTTTTTATACAGTACTTTATTCTTGCCAGTTGAATACTGTCCCATTACAACTTCAGTTCCTGCATGGTAACATTGCAAATATTATAATCTAGCTCTTCCTATTATTTGTAATTTTGCTCTCATGCATCCTAATCTTGTATTTTAGATATAGCTTAAGAATTCTCTGGATAGTACTTTGGCCGTGGAAAGAATAATACCCCTGCTGACTATAGCTGACTAATTAGGAAGTTGTTACTTAACCAGGATGTGTTTTATAACCTTTTTGACACAAGGTTGCAGAGCACTTTAGGAATTTAATTTCTCAATTTGCTGTGTTTTGTCAGCCCGCTGGGGCTGATAGAGCGCAAGGCTGTCAGCTCTCCAAGGGGACGCTGCAGGAGAGTAGGATGCTTCCAATTGCCTGGAGTGCTGAGCAGAAATACAGCTCAGGAGTGCTTCTCTCTCCCACTCTGAGGTGGATCAGATGTGTGAATTGATCCTACTTTGGAATTTGTGTTTCCTTGTAAGGTTATAGTTGCAGGCAGTTGATGTGCCAGGCAGTGGAAACATCTCAGGCCCTTCAGCTCAGCTGGAGTCTCTGGTGACAACAGCCAAGAAAAGAAACCACCAGGCACTTGCAAAGTCGCCTGCAGCTTTTCATAAGACAGATACATTGCAAAATTTTCTTATTTTCTATTTTAAATTGGTGTAAAAGACATTTTAAATAAGGCTTGGTCTTGCAAAGTGTCTCAACTCTGTTAAGAAAGAAAGTACCTGTACCCTTAAACCTGTTCCCTTATTTGCTGTTTTTATCTCAGTGCTGGATTAAACCTCTGAAATTATGTAAAAGAAATAGTTTTGGACTTTCACAACTCAAAAGTAATGTGTTAAAAATTAGAATAACATGAAAAGTACACGTATGGTAAATCAGTTTTCTAGCTAGGAATAACTTTGTTTGCATTCAGTAAGGAAAACATTTTTGTTTTCATGGAGTAGTTGAACAGCTGACTATTTACTCTATGAAGAAAAGCAGGGTATTGTCATAGATGTCTGCGAGCTCTCTTGTATATTCATTATTTTATTTACTAGATACTGTTACTATACTCAGCAGAGCCTCCTGCTGTTGTAAATCCTCCTCAAATACCTTTGTGTTTTGCTATGTCTGAACCTTATCAATTAAGGGAAAAAAAAATTAAAATCCAAATGCAAGCTCAAGATCCTGGTTGCATGGATTTTCTGGATTCAGGAATGAAATCTGGATGTTGTGCCTACATAGAACATATTTATTTTCTGGCAGCAGTCACAGTGTATATGGAAAATAAACCTGTCTTGTCTTTGTGTATCTCTGGAGAAACACCTGCGCCAATGGACTGATATAGGCTGGAAAAAAATCTGCAGGGAGAACAGGGAAACAAATCCACCCTCTGAGTCATAAATTAAATACTGAGGAGGAGAGGAAAAGGGCAAATGAGGCAGTCTGGTACCTGTGTACACAGGCAGAAACCACCCCACACCCCAGTGCTCACAGGGACAGAACAGGACCTTCTCATGCCCTGGGTGGGAGCCAGGCTCAGGGCAGACACTTGTGGAAGAGGAGGAAAAAAAAATCAACGGGTTGTCCTGGCACAGGAGAGGACATTGCAAACGATGTTTGATTCTTTATTCATCATACTGTGTTGGTAGTAAGGATGGAGAGGGCTGGCATGACAATGTGGAGGATCCTCGCTAGGACATGCATGAATGCATGAATAATGAATTATGTGTCAGAAATTCCTGAAGAGCTGTTCCTGTTGCTCTGGTCCTGGTAGGGTCTGGCAGTGAAACACTGCTGTCTGAGGACACTGTACTCGAAAACATCCAATTTGTGAGCAGAACCTACTAAAAGGCACGGCCAGACACCCCGCTCTGGGACCGCCAGTGTGGCAGGCGATAAACATCCCCCTCTGCTGCAGGCTTGGCTCTTTCTGAATCGAGATGGAGAGCGAAGAGGTGGTGTTTGGTGCTTTCTGACGGCAGGGATATTTCTGTCAGGCTCCCTCATTCCTGCTGCCCTCACCACTCCCGCTCCCCCCGCCATTCCCAGCCCCCGGGCCGTTCCCGCTCCCTCCGCCATTCCCGCTCCCCTCCCCATTCCCACCCCTAGGGCCGTTCCCAGCGCGGCCGCCAGGGGGCTCCGAGCGCTGCCCGCGCGCAGCCAATCCGGTGGCGCGGGCGGGGCCGGCCGCGCGCGCGCGCGGAGGTGGGCGGGGCTTGCCTTCTGTCGGGGGCGCGCGGGGCTCCTCCCGCTGCCCCCCCCGGCCGCCCCTTACGCTCCTCACTCCGACTCCACCTCCTTCCTCCCGCTCCTCCCGCCACCTCCTCCTCTGGCCGCTCCCTCCCGCTCCTCTCGCCGGCTCCTCACTCCACCTCCTTCCTCCCGCTCCTCCCGCCGGCTCCTCCCGGGGCGGGCGCTCCGGCCACGGCCGTGTCAGCCCAGCCACGGCAGCAGCGAGCATGTCCTCCAGTAGGGCCAAGAAAGTGAAGATGGCCACCAAGTCCTGCCCCGAGTGCGACCAGCAGGTGAGCGGCTGCCGGCGGAGCCGGGCTGCGGAGGGCGGAGCGGGCAGACCGGCTCCGTGCGGCTCCAGTCGGTGTTTGTGTGAGCTCAATGGTTGTTGCCATTGCAGCTTCTGCACGGAATGTGGGTTGAACGCCGCGTCCCTCCGGCAGGGTAGCGGAGTAGTTGGATTTTGCTGAGGGGTTTCTGCGCGACTGCAGAACCTCACGGTTGCGTGCTGGTGTTGTTTAGTAACTGTGTGATCTGTTCAAAATACAATGAGCCGGGTGATTTATATAATGCAGTTTGCCCTCTGGATGACTGATGTGCCCGGGGCTGGGCGGGAGGGGGCTCAGAGGTGTTGTTTTCCCAGGGGGTGGTCAGGAAGCAGCGGAATGGAGGGAGACCTTCGGTGAGTTTGTGCCCGGTTCCCCAGTGCCCTCTGAGGTGTCGGTGTGTCCCACTGCGGGGTCTGCTGCGCACAAAATGGAGCTGCTCACACTCACACAGAGCGGCAGCTGCTTGCACCGCTGCCGTGTCAGGAGCCTGTCTCCATTTACCGGCAATGATGTGAGCGCTGAAAGCAGCGGAGCTCCGAACAATGGCCCGGCGCTGCAGCGGCCCTGGGGCTCGGCGAGGGGCAGCGCCTGTCACCGGCACTCCGGGGGACATCGGCTCCGTGACCCTGGAAACGCACCCCTGTCACCGCTTTAGCCATACCTAGGAAAAAAATAAATAGTCTCACATTATTTCTCTCTGCTTGCATAGCTTTAGAAAAATGGCATTTTTTGTTCTGACTTGCATAGTTTTACAGTATTCCTGCCCATCCTGGCACAGTCGGGAGCGCTGAGCTGTGTGTGGGCGTCCTTTCATGTTTTAACCGCTGCAAATGCACGTTAGGCACGTCACCGAAATACTATTTCTGAGAACGAAATCGTGTGCCAAGTTCTGGTTATTCAGTTGGTGAAAGGAGAAACGAAAACGAGGGGGAAATCATATATGAGAGTGGTGTTTTTGTTTGGTTGGTGGATTTTTTTTTTTTTTTGATAAAGGTAGTAATGTCAAACTACCAACAGTAAGTAAGGAAACACTGTAAGATTTTTTTCACTGATGTGAAAACTATAACTTTGTTCTGCACTTATATGCCTATCGTGTGTTTTGTTTTTGTCAGTCTAGATTTTCTGTTAGCACCTCCTCTATGGCTTCCATGGATTTTATGTGCTTATATGTCCTGCCCTGGCACACATTGCTCATAGTGGAAAACACCTCCTTTTCCACTGCCAAATATTTGAGAGGGAGCAAGGAGCTAAGGCCTACAGTACAAGTCAACCCTTTGCAGATTTTGAGGAAACTCATGTAATTCTTATGTGACTGTATCCTGTGCTGCTGTTTCTTAAATTCTTCCATGAGCAAGGACTTAGCATTTGTTTCTGATTTTTTTCAGTAGAAGTGGCATGCATGGAAATATTTAGACACCCACAATTATTGGAGCGAAATATTGAGTAACAGTTCTTAGTCTTCAAAACATTGTTCTGTTGTAATTTAGGTAATATATCATATTTCAGTATTTTCACAATCAAAGCACAGCTCCTTTAGCTAGGGAGCCTGAAGTACTTGCAGTCAATCTGAAAAAATAATAATCACTTCTTAATTTAGCATCAAGTAAAATGTCTTGTGTGAGAAAAAAACCCTTTTTATTAGGAAAATGCTAAACAGTGTGAAATAGTGTTTTGGGCTCTTTTGCCTTAATTATGTTGCAGGGTGTTATTAGTGTGGGTCTTCAAAGGATAACTGAGAGTGATCAGTTTCAGTGATAAACCCCTTCCCCCAGGCCCCCACCCTCAAATGCTGCACATCCCAAACCTGTAACACCAGAGCAGTATTGTTCTCTTAAACACACTTGAGTTCCTTGAGAAATACTGACTCTGTTCCAATCCCCTTGGGTGGCTTTGCCAGAGTTGGGGTTTTTTTAGGCCAAGCCTGGAAAGGTAATTATTGGAGAGACCCAAGTGCTCAGAAATGGATTTAGCTGGAATTCTGTGTCACGTTAAGAACACACACAAGTTATCTGTGAGATGGTGGGGCTTTAGGATTGTTACACTGAGGTATGAACAAGGAGACAACTGTGCTGAGGTATGAACAAGGAGACACAAGCCTGCTAAATTCTGACCTTTAAAGTTCAATAAACCTCTGTTGGACTCGTTTTTGTTATGTCAGTGTCTCCATAAAGGGAGTTAAAATCTCTAGTTCTGCAAAACCTGTGTCAAAAAGTCTATCTGCGAGCTTTTTGTAGGGTGAAGTGCAGGAGTTCAGATGTGCTACGGAAAGCAAAATGATTTGATTATTCTGAGTAGCATTAAAGTTCCCCCATTACAAATTCATGTACTAATTTGGGAGGGTTTTTGAATCAGTAGAACTTTGGAACTCGGTTCTTTCCCGTGTCTGGTTAAATGGAGGGGCAGTTGTGGTTCTATGCTCCTGTTTGTTTCAGTGGATATTGGCAGACTTGTAGTGACCTGTCTTAAAGAATTACCTTTGAGAAATCACCTCCTGCCTTTTGCCCCCCACTATCATGCTTCAGCATGATTCCACTTTAATGTGTGTTGTTTAATCTCTTCCAGATCTCTGCCTAAACTTGCTTTGATTTGTGTTTTCAGTCTAAAACCTAATCAAAGCAACATGGTGTATTGCTTGCTATTCTAAAAGATCTCACAAGATCTTGGGGCTAAGGTAATGAGTTTTGTAATTTATCAGTGTTGCTGTTTTTAATTGCCCTGAGTGGATTTTGTTATTTTTCATATGAAATGTGGCATTTTTTGTTTTACATTGTTATTTTCTGGGGGAGCATACTGCTGCTGTCTGCTTAGCTGCTCAGAGGCGCTGTATTCTCTCAAACTCCGGGGCCTGCAGTCAGTTCTTGCCTGCCTGGCCTGGGTTATTTGCATTTTGAATTAACGAGCTCCTTCTGTACCCACCCGGCCTTGTCTGCAGCGCTGGAGCTGAGCGTGCTGCAAATGCATCTGTTTTGCTTCAGGCTCTATTGTGCCTCTAAAGCTGCTCCTCTCTAAAGGAGCTGCTTTCAAATGCTGCTGGGAGTGAATGCATTCACAATGTACTGACGGGTTGAACTCATAATTATTTTTTTTCAAGTATATAGAGGAAGCAAAACTGGAAATGTCTGACTGATTTGACTACTGATATTTGAGAGCTCTGAAGAGAAACTAATTCTATTTTAATTCAGCCTTCCTTTAATGCTCTCTGCTTTCCCCCACCCCCTTCCTGTCAGTCTGAGGAAAAGTAGTGCAAAGCAATCACAACAGCTGTACATTTCAAGCTTGATTTTTAACAACTGCATAAAGAAAAGGCTTGGTGAGTGATTTACAGCAGAATCTGGCTCTATTATGTTTAAATACAGTAACAGGACAGGCTGTAGTTTGCAGTACAGACTGAATTTGAGGAGTTATCTCTGAAGACAAAATGTGAGTTATTAAGTGTGGTTTTTCTTCATGAGACAGGAGTTTGGTCATAATTTGAAATTATCTGAAAAAAATTGTCTTTTGTTTTCCCAGGTTCCTGTTGCATGTAAATCATGTCCCTGTGGCTACATATTTATCAGCCGAAAACTCTTGCACGCCAAACGTGCTGAGAGATCCCCACCCATCACAGGTAATGCTTCCAGAGGGGGGGAGAAGGGAGCAACAGTTCTTTCCTCTTATTTCCTGGAGGGGAAAGATAGTGGATTTTACTTCTCTGTGTAAATGGATTGTTGTCAGTTCGCTTTCCCTTCAATTTGTGCATGGTAGACTTTGCATATGTTATTTTTTCTTGATTTTTGAGAAGAGGGAAGCTGCTGTTTTCAGTCTTCCTTTGTACTCGTGATGTTGGCATTTATTCTGTTTATGTTCTAGCTGCACACACTGATCACTATGCAGAATAACCCCTTACAGAATGCTTTGTGTTAATCCTGTTTTGAAGCTAAACGTGTAGAGGTCCCAAAAGGATCTGATTTCAGAGCTCATGCTGATTGAAGCTGGGTTTTCTGAAAATAAAAAATTGGTCATAATGTTTAATCTAAAACTGGGTGGATCTTGCTTCTCTCTCCATGATTAAATTATATAGTGCTTTTTTTGTGCCTGACTTGTGTGTCTTTTGTTGATGGACTCAGTAAGAAGTCAGTTGAATGTGCTTTCTGGCATGAATAGCATTCTCCTTGTGTTCATTTATGTCACTTCCTGCAGTAGTAGGAATGAGTCAGAAAAAGAGCCCAACAGGGAAGATATATATTAAAAAAAACTCAAAAAATCTGACCCAAACCTAACAAATACCTGATCTATAATAACGTACTTTTAAAATAGTCTACCCGACCTACAGAATGGAAGTCAGCTATTTGATATTTCATAGCAATGTTTTGAAGGATACCACTTGTAGGAATTCGGTGACATTATGCTGACAACTGAACATTGAGGGTGGAGGAGGTTAAGAAATATCTGTGGTAGATTGGAAGTGTTGATCAATTTTCTTTCCTCCTCCTGCTTTTTTGATAAAGTAGTTACCAAATGAAGCTGAAGGCCATGATGTGGTTGTATAATTCAGCTTTGTACAGAGGAAATGCACCAGGGGAGGCAAAATGGAGACCTGCTGGAAAGCAGCTCTGGAAAGTGCTTTTTACTGTGAGTGTGACCAAGCACTGGCAAAGGCTGTCCAAGAGTTTGTGGAGTCTCCATCCTTGGAGGTGCTCAGAGGCCTTCTGGAGATGGCCCTGTGTGAGCAGGGGTTAGGCAGGGTCTGAAGAGGTTCCCCTGCTCTGCCTCACCCTGGCTGTGCCACTGAAGTGCAGGTTCTGTAGGAGTGACTGGACCCTGCTGTCCTGCTTGTCCCTGTGTCTCTACAAGATCAATGGCACAACTGCAGCCAAAGGAAATCAGTTCCCCAGAGAGATACAGCAGCAGACTGTGAATGTCTGTATTGTGCTCCTAAGGTAACCACAACTTCTTCTACAAAACGTTGTTCCAGTATTTTCAGCAGTGCAGCTACTGTGGAGTGGTGCTGCAGCCTTACAAATGTGCAGCTAATCCACGAGTGTGCAGTGGTGACTGTGCTATATTTGGTACCCAAGCTCATTAATTCATGCATAACTTCCAGACAAAACTCATGGAAATGCTCCTTTCTTTGACTGACTTGGTGCTGAGGAGAACAATACCTGTTCAGATAAAACTCATGGAGAGGCACCTTTCTTTGACTTGGGTGTGGAGGAGAACAATACCTGTTCAGCAGTGAGCATGAGGGGCCCTGTCACAGGCTGGAGTGGTGGGACACGTTCATTGTGTTCTGAGGTGTTCTCTGCCAGCACCACTGACTCAGCATTCAGTTTGTCTGAGCAGCAGCAATGATTTCATTGTTGGTGTCTTTGGAAGCCCCAGTGCTGTGGTGTTTGCTGTATGATAAACTTTCCTAGTGGAACAGATACAGAATGTGGTGTCTTAAAGGCTGTGATGTGTGCAGTTTGTGTTCCCATCTTATTTGGGAAACAGCTTCTTGTGGCCCAGCAAACATCACAGGCTGCAAAATGCTTTTGAAGCAATTAAAGGCTTGATCCCTGGAATCAAGAAGTGAAACACCCTTCTGGATCTGGCACCTTGATTTCTGCATGGATATTGTGCAGATGCAATTGTTCTGTAAAGGTACAGGCACCTGAACACTTGATAAGGTTGATTGGGTGGGGTAAGCATTAAGAGTAAATGAAGAACCCTGCATTATGGCATTTCTGTTCATTTGCACAGAAAACAAGAGTGAGGCCAAAAGGAGGCGGACAGAGAGAGTTAAGCGAGAGAAGATCAATTCTGCAGTGAGTAAAGACTTAGAAAACCGCAAGAGATCCAGGTCCAACAGCCATTCAGACCACAGCAGACGAGGAAGAGGAAGACCTAAGAGTGCCTCAGCAAAAAAGCACGAGGAAGAAAAAGGTATGAGAGCTGCAGAAATCTGTTTGTTGGATTTTCTGTTTGTATCTTTTGTAATCAGCAAACCTTGATACCATTCAATAAGCAAACTAGTTCAGCCAGTACCTGATACCTTAACGTGGGGAAGGGACTGATTTGCATGTGTAGAGACCTCTGGTTTTATGTTTCAGTGTCTGATGAAACTAACTACAAAGATCTGAATCTGTATTTTTAGCCACTGTATCAAGTTTCAACATGTAGCTTGAAAGCCATTGGACTGGAGTGTTAAGTAGGTTTTTGGTGGTTTTTTTGGGTGATTTTTTAAAATTTTTTTTTTTAATTGAGGTGCTGCTGCTTTGTATCACAAGGACAGCATATAATGATATCTGTTGTCTGAGAGGGGATTAGGATGACTGGATTGCTTTAAAAGTTTCTTGAAACCTTTTGAGGGGCCAAAGTAAAAGGGGCATGTTGAATCACTACTATAACCCGAATTTTAGTCCTGTTTCTGGAGGAAAGAATGACTCCTTGTCTGTTAAGGTTCCTTGGTGACCTGCTGGTGTTACTCATTATACAGAGGCTGTTACACAGCTAGAGTAATTCTAGAAACCCTCAAGAATGCAACTGTCACTTAGGGTTCCTCTTGTTTTAAAAGCCTATTGACACTGCATTTTCTAGCTGTGTTTTTGGAGATAGTAATTTTAGACCTGAGTTATGAATCCAAAAACTTAGCATGACCTTATGAAGGTTGGAAGGGAGATAAAAGGGGAATGACAAAACTTCATACAAATATTCAGCAGATATTGTTCCTAAAACTCCTGAAATCTTGAAGTATATCATGTGACATGATTCAGAAATGCAATTATTCTTCTTTTCCACCTTACAAATTGAAAAACGGGTGTTAATCCATGTTGGAAATTCCTTCAATTTCTGACTTCTCAAAAACAAGTTTGATATCTCTGCTGTTTAATGTAAATCTGTTTCTTAATGTTTCTTTAATGTAAAAACCAAGTATAAATTTGGATTTGTTGGGGTTTTTTTAGTGCTTTCAGTGTGGGAAGAGGTGGAATTTCATTTCTGTACATTTTCCAGATGGCAATTGTTTCAGTGTAATAGAAATGCACTTTGTAGTATGTAATCTCTTCACTATTGCATATGACTTACTGATGTCAGTAAGTCATAATAGCTTCCCTATTTGTTAGTGACCCAAGCTGGACTTTTCTGGTAGCTTTAGGATTCTTTCTAGGTATTTAACTGCCAGTCTAGTTCACAAACAGCCTTGGTTTTAAAATTCCAGTGAGCTGGTTGGGCTGCCTTGTAGAAGTGAATCTTCTTTTCTGTCTCCTGACAAAGAGGAATGCAACATAAGCAATCAAAGGAAAAGATCCATTTTCTTAAGACGTGTTTTATAGTTTCCAAAAAGCAAAGATTTGACAGCAGGAGGGATATTAAGAGAACATGTTTTCCTGTGCAAAACTAGGGTGAATGTTTCTAACCTCTTGCTGCAAACTCCACTGTGACAATACTGCAGTGCTTGGAGGTAGAAGAGTAGAGATCTGGGTGTAGTGGGATCTTTGCATAAGAGTGTGTGGTGTCCCTTTTCTTGGTGTTTCCCTAAAGTTGAATCTTACTGGATAAGATTGCCTTGATCTTCTTGTGCTGTTTTTACCATGCCTTTTCCTTGGTCTTGTGATGGCTGTTTGTTCCTCAGCCTCCTGTGCAGGGATTGGGCTCATACCCATTTGTCATTGTCTTTGCCCCAGTGCAGCTCATCCTATTGTTCAGGACTAAGTAGGCTTAGAATATTTTTTTACTTCTGGTTATGTCAGATTGTAGTTTGTGTAGACCACTGTTATGATTATCAGGCAGATTAAAAAAAAGGTTTGTAGATAAGGTTGTTATGGCTATAAAAATAAATTCAGCAGGGAGCTCATCCTTTTGTAAGTAATTACTAAAACAAGTTAACATTGACCTCTCCCTTTTCAAGTTGCTTACAAAATTGAAACTACTATGTGTGGAGTAATTGGCAGGAATTCTAGAAATATTATTCCTTTACCACATGTGCTGCTTGATAGTGTTGTTTGTGTCTATTAAGCAATGTAATTGTACTACAGTGAAGGTGGGTTTTGTGTGAGTGGTTGCTGGTCCTTGCAGCAGTGTGTGTGTTCAAAGTCAGCTCTGCAGTGCAAGGTGGCAGTATCTAATTTCCTTGCCTGTTCTATGTTTCAGGGATATTTTGGGTACTTCTTTAGAGGTTGTGCTTTTGCCCCAAAGACCTGAAAAAAAGCCACTGCTTGCATGGTTTAGATACTTGGCTGCTAATGCATTTGTAGATGGAAAAACAGGCAGACAGAAAACACCTCAGTGGTATTAAATGGAGGAACAGATTATCTGTACATTTGAAGACCATCCAGCTGTGAAAATTTCCTTCCTAAAGACCCCAGTGACATCTGTAGCTTTGCTTCCTTGCTTGTCATGCAATTCCATACACACTGTGCTTGTTCCCAGTTGTGGCTGTGCCTTTGACTGGTTCTTTTGTGTCCTTCGTGACTGGCTCACATTAGAGCAAAGAGCTGCTGCAATTAAGAAGAATAGAATAAGCAAAAAGGCTTTTTAAAACAAGCTATTTTCCCTACAGATTTAGCAAGAGGGAATGGAGGGGGAGGAAAGAGGAAGCAGATGTAGATTGAGGGGATATGGCAGTGCTGGGACCCAGAAAATGATCCTATCACACGTTTCAGAGGCATGTGATGACCCTGGAAAATAGGAACTCCTCCCTGCAGCCTTGGCTTGTCAAAATTGTCACTTAATTTCTTTGTCAGATGTACTGCAATGTATTTTGAAAATACAAACACTCCATAATAATTTGACTCTGGTTTTGTTGTGGAGGTGTTTTCTTTGTTTAATTGTGTGGCACTGTGACACACAGCTAGACTGGTTCCCAGGTTGCCTTGTTATCTGGGTAAAAACCCTGGTGTAATAAAGCAAACAAAACCCCTTTTATATTGGGGGAAGTGGTATTGATTGTTCTGAAAGAGGTTACCAGCAAGTAAGTCTCAGTAAGAGCAGTAGACTTGCTGAAGCAGACTTGTTACTTAGCAGGCCAGATCGTCATAAAGGTAGATAGACATTTCAGTATCCTGGTAAAACTTAAGCTGAATACATTTTCTTGATTCACGTTTTCTTTTTTCTGTAATTTCCAGCTGCATTACTCACACATTTACTTTCCCAGTGTGGATATTTGAAGTAACTTGCTATCTTGAAAAATGAATCCATACAAGACTTGTGAATGGGGAGGTCCATATGTGATTTATACATAATCACTGTTTTAAGGGCTGCAGTATAAAGGGATCACAAGAGACATGATCCAGAAAAGCTATTTTTGCCTAAATAGCCTCTTAGTTGTATACCAAACCCCCTGGTTTTTAATGTCTTACTGTCTTGTAGAAACACAATACTATTTTTCTTTAGCTCATAATAGAGAAATGAGTCAAAACTACTCTCAGATAAGACTGAAGTAGAAAGTTTTCAGTGTGTGGAAGCTGTGGTATCCTGGGAGTAGTGTATGATAAAATGTCATGCAGGTGTGAGCTCTTCTCTTGTTACTGATGAGAACTACAATTGTCCTGAGAGTGCATGAAGCCTGCACACCTGTGTTAATCCCTCGTGCTCTTTGATATCAAGATTTCAGTAAGCTGAAGTTTCAGAATAAGGCTGATCTGGGAGGAAGGGAAACGAAGAAATCCACAGTCTGTTAACAGCAACCAGGGTGTGGTGCAGGGGGAGTATTTTTAATTTTGCTGATATGTTCAAGTTGTGGCTGGATTCGTTTGGATCAGGAAGTATGAATCAAGGGGTGGGGTTTAGATATGAAAATAGAAAAGGTTAATGTGGAATAACCAGTGTGTGTAGTGTCTGTACTCAGAACTGCTCCCAGCATTGTTAATTTTTAAATGGTGAGAGGGAGGAAGTGCAGCAGCCCAGAGTGTACATACAGAAGCTGATTTGTCTTAAACTGCAGGGTAGGACTGGCAGTGAACCTCACTTTGAAACTCATTTCAAACTCAATGCACTAGAGGATATTGCCTTGCATAGCCAGGAAGTCAGCAAAAAGCTGCTTTCTGCTGTTTCTGTGTCAGTAAATCAGAACACAGTGGCAAAGGATTTTGGAGCTTCTCCCACTCAGTTGTTGAGCACAAGCACTTGATTTCACACAGACAACAGTCTGCTGGAGTTCTCTCTGTAGCTGCACACAAATGTGAAGCCAAATCAAACCGTTGTTATGAGTGTGAACCCGCTGAAGGGTAACTGTGTGGGTAGGTGGAGATGGGAGCTGCTGGGATCTTTGTTCCTGATCCTGCTTTTTGTTATTTTCCAGTGCTGCCCTTTCTTTGGCTTTCCCGTGCTAGTTTAGGTGTCTTGCTGGAGCAGTTGCCAGAGTGAGGGTGTGTGTTAGTGAGACTGAGGGCTCTCTCAGGTGGGCTTTGTGTTGTGACTGGAAATGAGTCCAAGCCCCGTGGAACCTGGATTAGAGATGGAGCTCCACAGCTGAAAGCTCTCAAAGTATTTCTCTTCTTTCTGTCTACAAGCCTGCTCTTCTGCTGACAAAACTGTTTCTTTGTTTGCTTTATTTTCTTAACAATTTGTGTCAGCTACCTGTGGCTTGCTAAACTGGGATAGAACCAGTCAGGATCTGGAGGAGGTGGTATTTATGCAAGTGGTATTACTCAAATTATAATTTTTTATGAATTTTTGTAGTGTAACTTAGTTTATTTGAGCACTGCAGTATGGAAATTTTTGATGGCTTCCTGTTTGTCTGTGGCATTGAAGCAAGCCAACATCAGCACAGGGAGCTCATGGGTTTTACTTGCTCAAGGAGGTGTGTTAGCATTGTTCTACAGCTGGGATAGGATGGAAAGTCTGCAGTGTAGAAAGTCCAGAAGTGTGCATGACGGTAAATTTGGAGCCTGACTTCATCCAAGTGTCTGCTCTTTGGCCTTTGACCCTGTCACTAAACTCCTGGGTTTCTTTCATGTATCTGTAAAGTAAGGGGCCAAATCTTGTGTTTAATTAGCATATTGTGAAATGACTATGCTTTATTGGATGGGAGGTGGGCATGTAAAGAAAAAAACCCAAACCACTAAAACCAAAAAACCTGAAGGAACCCTTGAATGCTTGTTTATCTTTATGTTAACAGTTCATTCTTCCTTCACTGTTAAAGAGGAGAAGTTCAGTCATGCTTTTGGCTGACTCATTCTGTGGTTCTTCCAGCACCTTTGTGTGCCTCTATTACTTCCTCCTCTTTCTTACCCCCTCCGTGCATTGGAGTTGATTGAGTAACTTCAATTCCACTACTTCACATAATTTACTAATTTCTATGTAACTTGCATTAACTTCAAATAATGGAAAAAGCTTCTAATAGTGACTTTTTTTTCTTCTACAGAGAAACAAGAAAAAGAAGTTGACATGTATGCTAACCTTTCAGATGAAAAGGCCTTCGTATTTTCAGTGGCCTTGGCGGAAATAAACAGAAAAATTATCAATCAAAGACTTATTCTGTAACTTGTGAGCACAATCTGATGCAGTTTTATGCAGGATGGCTGGCAGATTTCCAAGGTGCCATGGACTCTCGGAAAGTGTGTTGTCTGCACCAACAAGGACCATAGCATTTCCTGTTAAAAATTCTACTCCTGTTCTTGGAAATCCAGTTCTGTCTCTACAAATCAGAAAGAAAGTGGTCACGAGATTGTGCTGTGAAAAATCAGAAAGCAGATATGTTTCATGCCTTGAAGACAAATGCACAGAGAGACTGCACCCATTCCAGAGCACTTCTTTTGAATTTGCTGCCAGAAATGCAATATTTTAAATATTTTCAGAAATAAATGATTTTCCTTTAAAATTATATATTTCAGATTTTTCAGCTATATTGCAGTTTACGTATGTACAGTTCACATAACTTTTTAATAAATTGATATTCCAATATTTTGTTGAACTGAGAATTAAGTACATTTGTGATACTCAGGGTTGTTGGTTTTAATCCTCTTAAAAGTCTGGTATTCATCCTAGCTATGACATTTTGTAATAGGTGTGATATACTTCTGGTAGGAAGAAAATTAAAGTGGTTTAATTTGGGAGGATTATTTTGTTAGACAACATCCTATTTTTTATGAATTATCTCTAGAAGATAATTTCTTGCTCCATAGAATTGTTTTTTTAAAAATCATATACTTTGGGGGTCAGACTCCTGAAGTTTGAGCCAAGCACTTGTTTTGTAACAATTATTTGCTGAGTATCTGCCTTGTCCAGCTGGTAAGTTCTTGTCCTGTACTCTTTCTTGGCCCATTATTTACTGGACAGGGAGAGAAGGAGACATCAAAAATGTAGATCTGCAGTTGGCATTCTGTGACTTGTATTTCCAAAACATCATGTGGTAGTTCCTTTTACTCCCCATAGCTTTTTTTGACTGTCTTTTAAAAGCATAATTGTTATTGGTATTGTGTTTGGATTGCTGACTGTAAATACCAAAACAAAGTGTACCTGAGTTTGCAAAAATGAGCTGTTTTGATATAAATAGTTCTGGGGAAGACATTTAACAAAGTAGTCTTTCTTAAAGTAGTATAGTGCAATTTCAGCCAAAATTCTTCCTTTAATAATTATGTGGGGACTTTATTTTACCAAGGAAAAACCACAAAGTCTCAAGCTGTGTAAAGTCCTGAGGGAGGAGGTGTAGGAGATAATTACATTCATAAAATCTGACGCACTGGGATTTAGTCACCTTTAATTTCCTCTATTCTAGGAGGGGAAATGCAACTAAATGTCTTTCTTCAGTATTTACTGGTGGTTTTCAGTATCACATTGAGTAATGAGAATTGCCTGATGAGGTTCAGCTACAGAAGTGATCTCTGGGTGGAAGCCAAAATGTTTATTAATAAAGCTGGACTATCAGATACTGGCTGTTTATTAGTTACTGATTAACAGAGGGAGCTGTGAGAGCTGCAAGTTGTGTAAGTGAAAGCAGGAAGCATGGAAGGTGCTTTTCACTTCTTAACTCCTAAGGAATTACTTGCATCCTTGTTAACACTGGATGAGAGACATGGTGTGGAAATGTGCTTAAGCCACTAAAACACGTTTGTCTTTATTGCAGTAAATGAGAAATTGCCAATACAAGACCTACTTTTGTGCATCATTGAACTTGTGCTTCCCAGAGCTGTAGCCTGTCACAGACACCAGTAGTGAGGACAGATGAGTCAGTTAAGGATAGAGAATTCATTTGCATGGTAAGTTACAAGTCCCAGTGACAAAAGGGAAGTTCTGCCATGAGGGTATGGTCAGGCTGGAATGAGGTGTGCTGTGTTAGGGAGGGACAGGGGAGCTGCCAAGGCAGTCTCCTTGGTGCTCTGACTGCTTTCCTGCAGGTTTCTGTCTCTGCTTCTGTACGTGGAATTGGTTTCTGTCACAGGACCAAAGTTAATGTTGGATATGACAAAACTGTAAGTTCATTTCTACATTTAGAGTGGTGCCTTTTCTAATCAGTACTTTTGAAAAACAGGTTTGTACCTCTCAAATGTGCAAGGCCATTTATTCTCCTTCATTGGTGGAGGTTCTCCTGAAACAGTGGTTGAGTTCTATTTCTGTGTTTCTTCTATTTGTATTCCCCAGGTCTCTTCTGTCATCCCTTTCCCACATATCCTCATGCTACTTTTCTTCCTGATGGCTTCCAGTTTCTCTGAGAAAGCTGTGATGGAAGCTGGTGGCCTTGAAAACACTCTAGGCAGGGAGTGGGTCTTTGCCAGGGGATCTGGCAAAGCAAGAAACCTGACTTTGTCTTCCCACCAACCAGGAACAAACCATTCTTTCCTGTATAGACAGGGCATTGCAGCCTCTTCCAAAAGCCCTGGTTACTGTGGTGTGCCAAGACAGATTTCTTGGAACATATTCAGTAACTGAACTGCAAAGTGTCTGCTTTGTTCAAAGTAGGCATCAGCATGATGGATCTCAAGAGCTCTTTCTTTTGTGTGTTAGAGATGATCCGTGGATGAAACACTGACAAATCACTGGAGATTATAATTGTAAATTGCATTTGTTCTCCATCTATGAAAGTAAAATAAAGCCAGTGACAGCTGAATGATGAAAGTGTAAAATTCTGTGTACTGCAGCTCTGACTTGCTTGGAAACTGCATAGTTTCCAAGAAGCAAGAAAAAATATGGTAAGGCTTCAGGAAGCTGCTTATGTGAAGATTTTCTTGTGACTAGTTTCAGTGTAAGATTTTAGGCTCTGCCTTTGTCATTGTGGTTCAGGCTGACTTCATTTATTTCACTGCATTTTTTGTGGCCTGCAACCTCACATGGAAAAATACTCTTTCAGAAAAAAGTGAGTTAGGCTGCAGTTTTTTAATGAAAGAAAGAAGATAAAGTGCAGTACCACTGCACCTCTGTACATGTTGACTTGTCTGACTGGATAAACTGTTTGTTGTGAACCAAATAGTTTAGGATTGTATTGGGAACTGTCTGTTTGTAAACCACCTTTTAACAAGTTCTGCTTTCTGCCACTTATCCATTTTTTCCCCCGGAGATCTGTGCTTCCAGTGTTTATAGTTTTGTGTAATAGCATGTCTGACCATCAAATGGACTCACAGTTCAAATTTTGCTTTGAGATTTCTCTGCATTTCCCCTGCTCTGCTCCTAGATGGCAGCCTTATTCCAAACAGCTCCCTGGTGTTCAGCCTCCTCACCATGGAGACCGGCAAACTGGAGTGTTCCGTTTGCAGTGAGGGCAACCTGAAAGATCGTTTCTCTTTAGAACATCACTCTTACCTAGCAAGGGAAAGGAAGATCCTGCTAATGGATGTCTGCACTGAAACATTGCTTCATCAGTGCTGGAGCTGTGAGGATTGGTGGAGTTGGATAATTTGTCAGGACCAAAGAATTCAGAACTTTAAATTGGCAAATAGAAAATTGTTTAAGGAAACTTGTCACCTCCCATGGAAGCCCCCTGAAAGCTTTCTTTGGTGAAATTTTACCAACATCTTTTAATGGTCCAGTTACTTTGTTCTGATACTGCTATGGTTGATTAAAAAAAGGTGAAATTGGGACAAAGTATTGGGGAATACTTTGCAAATTATCATTGTCCTGTGGCTGGGCAGGATTTATTGAGAAAGAGACTAAAATGAGATACTAGCTTTGGATATCAGTTCCCAAAGAAGGTTGGTTTTATATAGTGCTTTTTGATTTTTTTTCCTTTTGTAGTTTTTCTAGATTTTGGGATGTGTTAGAGTGAAACAGTGATCATGTAGGCTATTAGCAGTTCTGTGTCTGTTCCTTGTATCTTGGACTGTACTATGAAGGATGTTTAGCATCTCACTGCCTAACAGGACATGGTGCTTGGCTTCTGATCACCTTTAAGGTATTGACAACCTGTGATTAAAGCAGAAAGCTGTGTTAAGGCACAGTTTAGGTTGGGCCTGTTTGAGAGGGATCCCTGTGTGTGCATGCACAGGTGCAGGTGTGCTGTAACCTCTGGTGTCTGTGCCAGGGCTTTTGTTTGCTTGGGGAGTGTTCCAAGCAAACCTCGTGGTACTCTGCACCTCCAGGGCTTAGATTTGCATCATGGACCTGTCTTGGGAAGCAGGATGGACAGGGCTCTTACAGGGGAACTGGCCTGGAAGGTTGTTCAGCTGTCGCTGGGTGTTTGGTCTGCAGGACCTGGACTCCTTGTGGCTGCTGCTGGGCTCTCAGTTCAAACTGTTCCACTCTACAGATTTTCCTGCTTGTTGTGGCAATACAGAGAGCCAGTGTTAACAGCCAGTGCTTTCAGGTGAGTCCAGAAGCAATTTGTCCTTCAAAGTATTGACTGTGCTGTCAGTGTTTTTGTGGTAGGTTTCTCATTCATTTCACTGTGGGTTCTGGAAAATAACCTCTGGCAAATCTGACTGCAGCATTCCAAGGCATTGCTTTCCCCAGTTATTTGCCTATCCTTTAAGGAGGTTGCCACTTTGGTTGCAGTGGTACTGGGACAGCTCTAAAAATAATAGAATAATTTTATTTCCTCTTTTTTCAGGTTACCACTTTCAAAACAGGTTACAGAATTTTAAGTCTGGTTGTCCCAATGTTATAAATGATTAAGCAGGTGTTTTGGTTGAGATGAAAATCAGTTTTTCTGCATTATGGCAGATCATGATTTCCACAGATATTGTGAGGTCATAATGAAATGAAAATATCTGTGAATCAATATACTAAAATATTTGGGGTTTTTTTCCTGCACTTACTTCAGAGTGGTTTCTGGCACTGCCAGCTGTTGGTTAGGATGTGTCATCTAAGTAAGAGGCAAGGAATTGATTAGGCAGGAGGCACTGAGACTGGATAAATACCTGTATTTATTTTTTTCTGCAGAAGAAAACCTAAACCTGCTTTCACCAATGTTGTTTAAAATTTCAAGCCCAGAACATGGTTCACATGAATCATGTGGTGTCTTCATGCAGCATTTCCCCAGGAAAAGATCAGGTACCTCTTCTTCATCTTCCCTTCAGTCCCCCTCATAAGTTGCTTTTTTTGGTGTTTCTTAACTTTGTACATCAAACCTGAGCTCTGCCTTTGGTCTTCTACTAAGTGTTATTTCTCTCAATTATAACTTACTAATTTTGTTAATTACAGTTAAGAATTAAATACTATTTTTAATCCTGGACGGCATTGAGGACCATAAAATGCTGTTAAGAAAAGTGAGTGTTCCAGATACCAGGAGCACAAATATTAATAGTCTGGAAGCTTACCAAATTTCTGTGGTTTGTTTTGTCTTGGAACAAATAACTTATGAATATTTAATGGAAAATACAATGCTAATAAAGAGAAATCTTCAGACTGGGTCAGAGTTGCTTTATTTGGAGAAGTTGAGGAGCGAAAGGGGTGTGGCCATGTGAGCAGGTGTAGTGATGGAGGTTGGAGGGTGGAGTTGGAGTCTCTGCTGTGGAGGTGCTCTGGCCCCAGCTCCTTGTTCTCAACAACACCAAAGAAATGTTTCAGGGTCAGTGAGCTTGCTGGGGCAAGAGCTGACCCAGGAGTTCTGGTTTTCAGTAAAATGTATAAATTATTTTAGTAGCACAGCAGCTGTAGTGTATCGACAGTAGTGTTTATTGCTGGAGTTGAATTCTTCAGCAAATAAAGAATTCTGTTGTGTTAAGGATATTTTTAAGGAATGGCATACAGCCTATTAACAGCAGAGTTCAGTGATATTTAGATTTAGACTTGTCATAACCTGCATGAGTGTGCAGTAGGTATGAAATCTGTCTGTGAAACCACACAGTGTCCTGGTACAGGTTTGGTTGTACAGACAGTCAGAGGGAAGGCAGCAGTGTAAGAGACTCTGGAAGAGAACAGCTGTTCATTTTGCATGAGCCTCTCAGCTGGGGACCATTAAAACTGAAACGTTGGGGTGTAACTCAGGTGAATGAAGTTAGAATAAAGCTCAATTTGTTTAAGTTCACTGAGGAACTGTGGGCTGAGGCTTAAGGTAAAAGTGCCTTTTTTTGTACCTTTTTGAAACAGTGGAAGATAAAAACTGTTTCCTGTCATCTTAGAGAACTAACGAAGATCTGTTCTTTAGGACAGAGCAATTCCAAAGAAGGAAAAGTGGTGCAGTAAGTTAGGAAATGCATAAGACAGAGCTGTCTTGAGTCTTTGCCAAGTACTGATTCAGAGCCTGATCCTGAGATAGTTTTACCTCTGATTGTGTTACAAACAAGAAACTAAATTAGAAACTATAAAAAAAGTGATTTTTAATTGCACAACTAGAATTCCCTGCTAAACTGTGTGGACAAATCTATATTAAGATTAGAAGATGAGCATTAGAATTTACTTTTTAAGATTTTTTTATAGTAGCAGGTCTGGACATCCAATGAAAGGTTTTCAAAAAGTTTTCACATTTAAAACAAAGTGAAAACTTTGTTTAGCTGAATGATCACAATTACTATTTCTAACATTTACAAAGAGGAATATTTTGAAAATAGTACCTCAAAGCAGTGTATAATGGGCTGAGTGGATATTGAGCAAGAAGCCTAATTTAGAGAAATACTAATAGCTGCATTCTGAAATACAGCCTGAGTGCTCTGATGGGGAAAAGTGTCCCACAGCATTAGGATTACTCATGAGTCTGATCATCTCCAGATCTATTTCTCTTTCATTGTTGCTCACACCCATTTTAAGAAGATTGGGAGTCTCATCCAAAATGTTCAGCTTACATTTCTTGGCGCTGAGCGAATTCCAAACGTGGCAGCTGTGGTGCTGTTGCTTCCAAGAGTGGCAGGGCAGGCTCTGGCACACAGTTACTTAGCAACAGGGAAGCTCACGTTTGCTTACAGCTCCTGCGTGTGCATCTAAATGTAGTTGTGGAAAAAAATAAAAGGTTAAAGGACTTTGGAAGGGGAAACAGACACTTGAACAATTTGTACTGTTCAGTGGTTGAGACTGATGGCAATAGTACATAGGACAATTAGTCTCAAAATATTTTGTCTTTTAAAATCTTTATTAGACTGTTAATATGTTGCAAAAATTTGCAATCCAAATGAACAGAACCCTACTCCTACCAACTACAGAAAGATCAAAAATAAAAATACAGGAAATGTTAAAGAGCAGGGGGACATTCTGTTTTGAATGCCTGTATTGCAGATGCATTCTTTAGAATCAAGAAGTTTCATTATTTGAACATTGGGAATCTGAGGAAGTCATAAAAATTATGTTTTGTGAGACTAACAGATGGATTGAGACTATATTAGATTAATTAATACTGATTGTTGATTGTTGCTTCTCAGTTCACCAGTGCTTTTTTTTGCTGATCAAGCTGTGAAATCTTAATGGGTTTTTGACAGCTTACACTCTGTGACTGCAGCAATACTCAAAAGCACAGTGACTTAAAAGGCCACTGTCAGCCTGTTCTGGGGTTGTATTGTGATTACAGTAATCTCAGTTTCTGGGGATTCAGGCCTGCAGTTTTCCTTTTCAGCCAGCCCTGGAGCTGCAGTGGGGTTTCCTTATATAGCAAAGGCAGGAAGGTGATTGCAGCTCACTCAGACATGAGGGGGAGGCAGGGACCAGAGAGAACATGCCAGGATTGGACAGGGTAGGAAAAAGACAAGCTGGATTTGGCTAGGGAATGGAGAAAGGTCTGATGGTGGGAATTAACAGTGAGTGTGGTCAGGCTGTTGGGGAGAATGACCTGGAGACCTGCAGGACGTCACTGAAGGAGCAGTGCATTGCTTCAGCAGTGGGAGCTGGAGGGGAGCAGGGCAGTTGGAGAGCAGGGAGAGTGACTGGAGAGGTGCTGCACTTACAGAGGAGTGAGGATACTGCTATTCCAGCTGCTCCCAGAGTTGGGCAGTTCCTTTATATCTAGAAATTCAGTGGTTGGAAAAAGGAATTCTCCAGAGGCTGTGTTCTTTTGTTCCTGTGCTTGGTCTTCCCCATCTGTGCCCTTGTGAGTTTACTGGGCTTTTGTGTGGGCAACAGATTCAGACATGATATGGAAGATGAACAAGATCCCACCACCACTGGGAGTGGGATTGAGAGTGTTAATCCTTGTTTTTCAGAGCTGAGTCAAAATGGGGAGACATCTTGTGAAGGTTTTTGAGGGCTAGAATGAACGTGGTTAGGGGACAGTGATTTAAAAGACAGGGAGAAAAAAGTCATCAATCCATGCTGCCAAAGTTAAAATCCAGCTAAAATATTTACCTTTGAATTTCATATTCAGTCTAGAAGATTGTATAATTCTGATTTCCACATGTACATTCATGTGCTTCATATGTACTTTATGGGATTTACTAATTTAATGATGTCTCTTCTAGTTAATGGACCATTAAATGGGAGGCTGTAATTACCACCTCTGTGGCTGCCTCAGAGTGGGCAAGAGGATATGTGTTAAATCTTTATAAAAATGACAGGATACAGAATAGGAGCTTGATAAAAATCTCTCATCCCATGCAAGTGTCAGCCTGCTCATCCCATGTTGGGAAACGAGCCTGGTCTGCTCCTCTCCCTCCTGAAGTCTTTTTAGAAGGCAGGGAGAAGAATGAGGCAAGTAATTTTGTTTCCAGTTACCTCCTCATGTTTTAAACTAACAGGCTGTTGAACATGAAATCTGTGCTGCAGCAACTTCGACCTTTTGTAAAGGTAAAATGAGCAAAGTTTGTTTTTCCTTCTGCTGTTCATTCCTTCAATAGTGGAGACCAGAAGGATCCAGGTGCTGTCAGGTTGACCTGTGTACCAAGGCTTGGGGTTTCACAGAAGGAGGAGACTGCTACCCAAAAATTGGCCCCCACCCTTACAGAGAAGGCTTCAATCTCTTCTCCTTTGGACCTTTGTTCTGACCACCAAAGCCAGGTTTGCTGTGTAATGTGGTAGCTCTCCATGCAAAATCCTCTACATCACCCACCCATGTTTGCCAGGAGACAAAGTACATACAGAGTCACTTTGTCTCTTAATTTGGTTTTTTATGGTGGTTGTAGCTATTTTCAAGTCTTCCCTTGGTAAGTTGCCTTTTGTGAGTTTATTCAGCTGCAGACATTATATGCACTTGCTGTGGCAGCTGGAACAAAAGCAGAATATTGACAGAATTAAAATTTGCTGGCAGCTGTATTTGTGCTTTGCAGGCAGGATTCGTTGTAGTGCAAATCTTTGTGGGCTAATGAAGTTAAAGCAGGGCTTTAGATAGTATTCTTTTCAACAAAAGCAGCTTGCCTAAAGCTGTCCCTGCTAGTGTTTTCCTTCTGAAACAATGACAGGGAATGCTGCAGGTTTAAAAATGGAATATAATTTATGAGGCATCAAGCCTTGGGCATGAGTCCTTGTGTAACTGGAATTTAAAATCTAAAATGAATATTAATGAGGTGGGGAGGGTTGCAGACCTGTCCTTTAATACTAATCCATTGTGAGAGGAGCAGCTCTAGCAATGAGCTGATACTGGCACAGAGACAACCAGGCATTGACTGCTCTTAGAAAAATGCCTCATCACTCAAAGTCTTCACAGACTCCTGAATACTTGTCCTGATCAGATACAGAAGGGCACCTGAGCATTCCTGGTGTCAGTTCCCTGCTGATCCTGTGTGCATTTCCCTGGGGACACTCCTTGCTGGCTTTCAGCTCCAGCCCGAGGTGTGGATGGAAGCGTAATGGAAGGGTAAGTCAGCAGGGCACTCTGGAAGTGCCTGTGGAAGAGAACTGGGAACTGAGGCTGAGGTTTAGGGCACAGTTATGGTGACTTAGACTGGGTGACATCAGTGTTAGAAGCTCCTTGCCTCTGATTATTAATCACACAAAGTTTGTAAATACTTAAATCATTTCATAACTCTTAAGTGTGTGTAGAAGAAATGTGCCAAGTGACTAAAGCTTCCCCTCATTTTCAGGAAAGAAGGTACTTGTATTAATACTTTGTATTAACCATTTGATCTAAATAATGTTTTTCAGATTATAAATTCCCTGAAAATGGGGTGCTTGTGGACCAGTGCACCTCCTCTTAATTCACAGAGGCTGATGCTGGGGAGATGAGAGAGGTCACCTCAAAAATGCTGAGTCCCTTTATTTTACTTTGTAGTTAGGGCAGGAATTGGCAAATCTGTCAGCAGCTGGCTGGAGAAGCCAGTTAAAATAAACCTCTCTACCTCTTGTCTTGGTCTGTGCTCCAAATGCACTGATGTGCTGCATCCTCTCTTGTTTGAGAGAGGAGTTTTGGGGTGTAAGTATAACAGATTTGAAGAGTTCCTCTAAAAGCTGAAGTACTAACCTTGATCTTGATTTCATTTGTTGGATGTTATATGCATGAGTTTTGGTCAAGTTCTGCATTTATTCTATAAGTAATTGGTGTCTTGTGACACCTTCAAAGCCTATACTCAAAGTGATCACTTGCCTGGTCTCTAGCTCAAGGGCAAGGCTCCGAGATCTGTATTTCCTGATATGTCCAATCTATTAGACTTTACCCAGGTACTAAAGATAACATAGTCCTGTGTCCATTGTCACAGAAATATACATTTAACTTTGTGAAAAGTGGAGTATTTCCTTGTTGGGGATTGAAAGTTACATAGTTGCTACTAAATCGATGCCTTTTAATACTCACAGAATCACACAGTCCAGAACTAACATTGTGAGATTGGAGATTAAACTGAGGGAAAGAGAAGCTCCAAATTAATTATTTTTCAGAACCTAAATGGAAAAAATGCAGTCAGTGAAACTCATCATAATAATTATATTCTTAATATTAATGAATGCAAATACTGCAGGAAGGTGTTGTTTTACACCATGGTTCTGTATTTAGATCTGCTAATGGAAGGTTGCAGGCTGAACATTGCTCATTCCAGGGTTCTTGCCAAAGTTTCTAAAGGATTCTCTTTGTCATGCAAGCTTTCCTCTGTGGCATGGTGCTTGCATGCTGTACATGCCTCTGCTGCCACATGAAGAAATAGTGTCTCTTTACTAAATCTATAGTAACTGCATGGTTATTTGTGATATTGGAAGAAGTAACAAATATATAAAAATACTTCTTTCTCTCCCTTGGGTATAAGGTCATTGTTAAGCCCTGCACCTCTTGAGCAGTTCCAATATTTGTTCTTTTCTTAGGTACTGGAATGGGGGTCTTTAATTGCCATAATCAGTTACAGGGTAGTAAAAAAGCTGAAGGCCATGTTCAAGAGCTTTGTGTCCATGGGGATGGTCACCTCTTCCTCTGAGAGTGGCTGGCTGCTGTTCCCAGTGCCAGGAATGCTGCTGGAGCTGCTGCCACAAGGCCAGCAGCATCCCTGCCCTGTCCCTGTGGGATGGCTCAGCAGGGGCAGGGCTTTCACCAGTATTCCTGTGCCACTGCATGCACCAAGCTCATGTGTCTTAAAAATCCTGGGGCAGTTTGGACCTAGAATTTATAGTTTACTCCTGCCCTTTGAAGGCAGAATGGTAACAATAGGTCTTAAAGCTGTGAAAATATTCTATGAGCTAGGAAAGGTTTAGCTCTGTTTTACAGGTGGAAAAGCCAAGGCACAGAGATTGAGTTAGGCATTGCACAGCGGTCTGGCAGATGAGACTGGTCTCCTCTCTGGAGGTTTAAGTCCAGCATGTGAGGCAGCCTCAGGTTCCTATGTCCCTTTAGCAGTAGTTACACTACTAACATCTCTAGAGCTGTGCTTAAGTCACCCCAGGCAACCCCTGTTCTGTACTTGTTTGTTAAATAGCCTGAAAAACATTCCCTGCCAGGCATGGCCATCTCCTCCCTGGCCTTTGCCCTGCAGGAGTTCCTCACTCACCTGATTCTGGTTTTGTCTGTACTCACATTGGTTTCATTTCGTTTTTTAACAGCATATTTGTAACTTTGCTGTCCAAACCCAGCTGGAAACACACCACTTGTTGTTGCTGTGAGAGGGGCAGCCAGCTCTGTACCCCCACGTCTGGACCTGACATCTCTTAGATCATAATGCTAAAGGTACAGTATCTTATCTCCATCACTGGCCTGTTTCAGGGCAGGGTGCCTGTGCACACAACACACTCCTGATGGCATTGGAGCAGTGAAGATGTGGCCCATGCCAGCCCTGCTCCTGCTGCCTGAGGTTCCTGTCCACCTGCTCAAAGGCAGGGCCATAGTGAGAGGCTGTCATTTGTGTGCCCATGCCTGATGGATTCATCCTAATGCTAGAACACTTGCAGCTTGTAATCAGAGATAATTCTATTACAGCTTGTTGGCTGAGTGAAAGAGGAAAACAAAGATTAAAACTGAAAGCAGATTTCCTTCTACTTCTCTAGAACTAATTTCCTTCTTAGGTCATCCAGCATCTTAGTATCTGTTCTATTTGTGTGTTTGTCCTCCATGGACATAAACTTACAGGTAAGAACTCTATTTTTAAAAAAGCATATCTTACACAGGGCAAAATAAAAAGGAATTTATTGGCTGAGAATCAAATGCATGAGGAACATCATTTGGGTGCATTGTGGCTGCATATTAAACTGTGTAGGTAGAAATAAAAGATCTTAGATCTAGGGGGTTCACAGATATGCCTACATGGACTTCGTGGCAATGTACACTTGTGCAAGGAAGTGAGGTGTTTAGAGACTGAAGGGAATGGCTCTGTGTGCATGTGGAGACAGTGCTTAAGGTATAATAGGTGTGTTAATTCTGAGGGAGGATGAGCCCTTCTGAATGGTCATTTTGAGTCCATTCATTGTTCCCTCTATTCCTGTGCTTAAGAAATTGAGCATGCAAGAAATTCCCACATGTGTTGGATTTGTGTTGTGTTGAAGGCAATATCCTGCAGCAGTTATCAGTGTCACTGAAGAATAGAATAGCACTTAGATAAATTACAGTCTTGTCACTGCTTGGCTGAAGCCACCATGCTGTCCTTAAGTTACAGCTAGAGCAATGTAAAATTGGATTAAAATAAGTGAAGGAACAAAGGAATGCAGAGAAGGGACTGCTCGGTGGCTCCAGAGGTCTGGCTGTCATCTTGTATTGTTTCTGTGCCCTGGAGTATCTGTTATCAGTGATTCAGGAAGTGAACTGCTGGGATATGGATAGAACTTAGTACTGTGATAAGGCAGTGAAATGACTGAAATGCCTGGTGTAGTGTCAGATAAGATGAAATGCCTGGTTTATCACACAAGCAGAATTCTAGCAAGATCCAGGGAGGCTGGGCAGCTTTATTCAGTGAAAGGCTGCAGGCTACCAGGGTGACCACCAGACAAGACAAACAGAATGGGGACTTTGTATCAAGAATCTGCCCTGCACAGATCCCTGCGTTTGAGCGTGGGAGGATTTTGTGTTTCAGATTACATAAAGAGATTTACGGTAAGGGACTCCTTAGTGCTTTATTGTGAGCCTGGTTTGAAACTGAAAATTTTCTGGATGGCACAGAATTGGTTTCTGTGCCTTTTGTAACGTGCTGTGTGTGTTTGAAACTGAAAACTTTCTGGATGGCACAGAATTGGTTTCTGTGCCTTTTGTAACGTGGTTTGTGTGTTTGACATTCTTGGCCAGCTTGTACAGCCTGTTGGCTTGCAAAACACCTGCCAGCCTCAAGGAGGTGTTTCTGAAATGATGACTGCAAGCTTTGCCTTTGTAAATAAATTTACTTTTCATGGGAGCCTTGGCACATTCAAACTTCTGTTCTGACTGGAATATTTGTTGTATAGGATGGCACACTGACATTCAGATTATGTGGAGGTTGGTTGTTAGTGCTTTTTGCTTTGCTTGCCATAGGTCTGTGAGTTTTATACAGTGACTCTGTTGGGCAGGATGACCCTGAGGTGATTTCACGAGCAGCCAAGTTCTGCATGAGCCCATCTGACCTGTGGTAGAAGCAGTGCAATCACCTTGAGTGGTGGCACTCAGTGCCTCAAAGGGTGCTCTGGGGTCATCCTGGAAAGCTGTGAGCTCAGAACCCCACAGTGCACAGGTCTGAGGAGCAAAGCAGAAGAGAGCTCTCCCCAGAGCTGGAGCCCTGATGGACAGAGCACAGACCCTGTGAGCACAGAGCTGTGGAGACACCACTGGTGAAGGGAGGATGGGAATCTGCTTTTCTACCTTTGTAAGCTACCCATTAAAACCCGCTGTGCTTTCAAGCTGCCTCTGAGCTTCAGTTTCAGTTGCTACCGTGGCAGAAAGTCTAGGAAAAGTATTTGTTTTCAGCAACCTGTTTGCATTTACCTACTTTCTGAGCTGCTGAAAAGAGCAGTAGCAGAAAATGTACTTAAGCGATTTTAAAAATAATTCCATGGGTATATAATCATTGTACTTAAGCAACTTTAAAAAGAATCCCATGGGCATATAATAATGTTCAAGAAATTAAAAAAATAATAATTGTAGGAGTTGCATTTTAATTCGAATGGATCAGATTATTGTGGGTTTTTTGAAACTGTTCTCTTTCAAAATTTTGAAGAAAGGATTTCCTCATGTATTTTGCTCAACAATAGCTGTAATGGCTTTTCTTAAAGAGCCTGTATTCATAATCATCTTTGTTTTTTAAAGAGCCAATGGAGTAAATGAACTAAATCAACAGCAATAAACTGAATTCTGGCTCAGTTGAAGAACGGACAAAATTTTTACTAATTTCAATAAGTAGAATATTGTTCCAAAGCTTTAAATTCCTCTAATGTAACAACATGTAATGGATTTAATAGGCAAGAGTATGATGATTTTTTTTTAATCATATATTACATAAGAAACAGGCTCAGTTGACCAGACACATTTCATATCCTGGTGACTGCATGTTTTGTTGTCTATTTATGGCAACGTAGCAGAAAAATGTTTTGGTCTGTTCATTTAAATATGCTGCTCATCTGTTGTTCTTGTTGAAGAGGTAATGATGTGTTTGAATTGTTCATTTTCAGCTTTTTGTTAAAGGTAATAAACAGCCTGAAATATGTGAGGTTTTCTCTTGCTTTTTTCCTGAAGGAGTGCAAATGAAAGATATTTTCAGGACTACAGAAGGTGGCCCTAGAACCATAAAAACAAATGAGCCAGGGTTTTTTTGACTAGTCATGGGGCAAATAAGTCGATACTGCAGTTATCTGTCTCCATGGCATTCTGTGGCTTGGCTCTGTGCAGATCAGAGTTAGTGTTTTGCAATGAAGACTATAATGAGATTCAGAATATCTTGTTTCTCTGTAATTGATCTGCGGGGTGACTGAATAATTCTTTCATATTCATTACTTCAATTTCCTTTTCTGTGAAATTAGTGATAATGGTGCTTCTCTTCTGGAAACACATTGAGGTCCACAGGTAAATGTTATCTTAGCTTTATTTTGATTTATTGGTTTTCCTTGTCCTCAGTGCACTAACAGTCAAAACCAACTTTGTTTTGGATGTCTCGCATTGGATTACATCACTCTGGCCAGTTTACCAAACTCATTATGTTTATCTCTTGGAAAATCATCCTTTGTTTTGTTCACAAAGCTAGTACTCAAATTCATGGAGCATTGCAAAGGGAAGGATGCTTTTGGAGGCTGGGACTGGCAGAGAACACATAAGGATGAATAGTCTTGGACCACATGTGCAATTCTTAGTAAAGCTGGTGAGAACTGCTCTAATGTGTAAGTTTAATGTTAACCCTAGGGAGAGCTCTCTTTTCCCAGTGTCAGCCGGCAGGTCAGGTTTGAGCCTGTCCCAGCAGGATCTGGTGGGTGTGTGTAAGTTCTGAGGTCAGTGTTTGCAGAGGGAATCTGTTGTTTGTGTGTTTGTGGCTGGAGCCTCCTGTGCAGTACCTGGGGTGCTGTGCTGTGCCTGCTGCTCTCAAACCAGGGGCTGGCTCGGCTGGCTGGGCTCTTGTGGAGGACTCTAACCCCAGGCAGCTCTGCAACAGTGCCCTGCATGTTCTTACAGATTGATTGGAAATCTGTTATTGCTCAGAGGTTCAGTGGAGGGGGGAGTTGTAAGCAGTAAGATGAGGCATTTTTTTCTCTGAAATTAATTGGACTGTTAGGAAAGGCAGTGACAGGAGTGTTCTAATGTGTGCCTGAAGATCAAGGCACCTGTACTTCCTTCAGGCTTTTCCTTTCTGGAGCAGAACACCTTTGATGTTCACCTAGATCAGTCCTTTTAACCTTAGTGCTGCTGCTGTCTTTCTTCTGATTTGCTGGACCGGATTTATTTTTTATCTTCTTTGAGGACACTGCCACTTAGTGAGATATTTGAAGTCACCTAGTCATTCCCATAAGTTAATCTTGATGCTCCTTTCCTTTCATGTTTGTGATTGGGGGTAGGTGTCTCACTCTGTGGGGTTTTTCTGGAGGCCTAACATCTTGCTGCTTTTGCTGCTCAAAGATATTTTTCTGAGTCCTGTGTAGAGTTACTTGCAACTCTTCAGGTACTGTTGGTTCACATCCTGACCTTCCTGTTCATGCACTGCACAACAATTACCTTTAATTTCTTTAAGCAGTTGTCTCCTGTTTTGTGAGTTAATGCTGGGACTGCAGAGCTGCAGATGGAGATCAGGCCTTGGCACCTGCAGTTCAGGCTCCTGCTCACCTGGGAGTCACTCTCCTCTCTCCCCAGCAGGGCAGCTCTGGGATGCAGGCTCTGGACAGTCCATGTACTGCAGGGCCCAAACAGCCCTCCTGGTTCTTGGCAGTTGTGTGCACACTGCTGTGGAGAGCTCACAGAGGCAGACAGACTGAAAGAAATGAATGGAATTGGTAAACCATTCTGAAGGATTGGGATTTTTAGAAAAATACATGATTGACAAATTTCTGAGCATCTCAGTTGTTAACACTGCCTCCCCAGGCTTTGTGGGGGCTCAAGAGGAAGATGTCATGTGCTCCAATTTAAATTTTGCACCGTAGTGGTCTGCAGTCTAAATATATTCTATTGAGTATCCTTTCAGACAGTTCATATCCCAGAAACTAAAGTAGTAAACTATATATAGTCTGTGACATTACAAACCAGGTTTGTTTTCACCTTCTCCATGGCTGAATTGAGATAGCAGGAGCTAACAG